CTCATTTCTCGTCATTTTTATATTAGGACCATCGAGTTGCATGCACTCATTCATTCTTCGTTCTCATAAACCTGAGTGAAGTACACTTCAGTGGTTTAAGACCACTTTTGAGAGGAAGGTAACTTTTACCTGTAATCACTGACACAATTTTGTAAACAATAATTTGAAAGCAGTCAATGTACTATTGGTCGACGCTAGTGATAGAAAAAGAATGATGTTTACAGTGTTCGAGACTAAATTGGAGCAGTCTATATCTGTGCCTCATTTGTTGTTCTTCTTCTTTATAATTGACTTTTTCAGGAAATATAGAACTTGCATGATCTAAAATCATTTAAATGAAAAATTGCAATAGGCAGCATTCATGTCTTCGGCAATGAAAGAAATGTAGTATTTAAACGAATGTTCACGGCACACATCCGCTTTAAGGTGCACATTTTTCCTGTTGATTGGACCCTTTTCTGTGTTGATGGAAGACAGACATTCCAACAGGACGATACAATTGTGACGTGCGCATGTACTCTCTGCTTTTGAAATGGGGGGGGGGGGGAGGGGTAGAAATTGTATTTGCAATGTATTTGTCCGTCTGAATAGGTTAAGAATTGATGGGATCGGCTTAATGTGCCACAAATACCGTAGGACTTCTGACCCAGAGAGCTCAAGGGGGTGTACGCAAAGTGAAAATATCACGGATCGAGGAATTTGTTTTCTGATCGATTTGGGCTTGGCGTTTACCTGACGCATGACGTCACGATGCCCGACTATTAGATGCAAGGCAAGCCAGGTATCGACAAGAGGGGTCCCCCGTAGTCAATGTGCATTGTGCAATGTACAGTGATGAATGGCATCGGAACAGGACAAACCAAAATAGAGCTGCATTCTCTGACCGAAAGCAATCACTTATGACTTATGGTTCAATTTTCCTTCCCGATGCGGGAATATATTTCTTTATTGTTCAGGTGAGAGGGAGAGAGGAATTGGTAGTAGAATAAAAGGTTTTTGCTTGGCGGTTCATGTTTAAAGCAGACTAAAGATGGTTCTCTTACCTAAAGACCTTTTCTGTGTCAAGATTTTTTCCCCGGATAAGAAACGAATATTGGACGGGAATACGCTCTTGTGACGTGAAGGAATCTTGATATCTCTATAGCTACCATCACAAAAAGCTTTACACTCCTCTGTAGACAAGCTAGAATGGCGCGAAGAATGTGTATCACGTGGTTTTGATCGTACCAACATATTCCATAAATATGTTATCCTATGAAATACTCCATTATCAATTTTTGTTTAATGTAGCTTATTCCATTCCTTCCTTCAGGAAAAAGAGGAAAAAAGGAATGCTCTTAGTTTCATGAATATGATGCTATTTTTATTGTAACCGTAGCAAATCACAGTGTTCTAAGATTCACCATTGTATTCCTTGCTCAACATCGAGCATTGAACTGTGACGAATATCCTAATCGATCCTCTTTTGAATATATGCAGTTTTGTTCTTGATATCTGTTTTTCATATTTTATTACTCGAGAAAACTACGCATAACTGTTTATAGTTTTCTGATTGTATATTTCTTATTCCTTGTTATGAAGTATTGTCTGTAACAATCTCTTTTAAAAGCTCTACCTCGTCCTTAACCCTCAATTTTCCAACCTTAGTCGCCCGGAGTGAATAACCGAGTGCCATGACGTGTAGGGATCCTCATTTTTTCAGTATCACGTTTATATCCAGCTCTCTCTCCCTCCAGAGTCAAGCATTCATATGCTTTCTCACGAACCCTACCCCGAGAGCTTAAGAACGCGCCAAAAATCGATTCAACAATTCAAGAGCGCCAACTGAGGAATCATCTCGGTTGAGCCATCGCATCAAGTGCATACCGTGGCAGTCGTTTACTGATCGCGGTACCCTTTCCAGCTTTGCAACAACTTAATCATCTTCTGAAACAATATTTGGCCGTCCCTGTCACGTTTAGCTCATTTCGACGGGAGAAGAGTCTCCATAAGTGGCAAGAATTATTTCCTGATGCTCCCACGAGGAACACATAGCGATCACATTCCCGTGGAATATTCCATTACAGGGCCATTAATTCTGCACACATATCACATTTTCATAGCTATTGAGGCCAATATACGAGCAGAGCGCTTTATGTTTCAACTCCATGAGGCTTTGAGCCTCTTCAGCTTTAGTGCCAACTTTACCGCTTTAATGGGGTCAAATGTTTCCTCTTTGAAAGCTTCCAAAATGATCTTCAGTAGCTTACCAGACTTGTAAGATTTCAACTCGAGGATATTCATTTAACATAGAGGATTTCAGGCAGCTTTCAGTTCCTCCGATTATCTTCAAGTGCACAAAAATGTTTTCCCCTTCGTGTGGTGTCTATGTGCGAACTTTCCATTATCTGTTGGTATAAACACGGTTGCAAATAATGAAGAAACAAAATCATTTGCCAAACAGACACTTCTCGATTTGTTCATAACTGTAAATTTTAGTGTGTTGTACTTCTATGAACATGATTCAAAAGAGGATTTGCTTGATTATTATTACACGCCAACACCAATGGTATGGCAAAATCAATTTACACGATGCGTTATATAAAAGAAAACACAACTACAACAGCAATACTATATTTACCCCCCTCTCCCCACCTTGGTTCTACCTATCCCTCTTTTTGATTTGTTTTTTCTCAACTGCCCCACATGCATGCCCACATGCCTTTTGACGACATGATTTGGCAAATTGATACAAGCGTAAGAAACGTTCGAATCGTGCAAGATCTTGACAAATGTGTAATTTATTCCCAATAGCAGCTTCCATGTTACTGTATTTTAATGATCACATACACGACTTTTCGTAGTGTATGAACAATGTCAGAGTTGCCCATCACAGTAGTGATCATGCACTTTGTCCACATTATTTTGTATAACATGTAAACTTATCCCCATAGTGATGAGGTAGAGGTGCTGTATAATTATTTTATTTTATGTGAAATAGTATATAATTTTGTAACTAAGACGATTGTACAACCTTAATAATTGATTAATGAAAATGAAAATATAATACGGTAAATCAAGATTACCATTGTTAACTTATGTAATGATTGAAACATACTTGCCACATATTTATTACAAGAAAAATCTCAAAATTACCATATTTCATGTCTCTCATCTGATTGCATACCTACCGATTAATTTACAATATATGTTTTCCATAACTCACCAATGAAAATGTAAAATGTAATTCATTAATTTTTACAACCAGTATTCTCTCTGTCGAAATTGTACTTTTTACCTTATTTTCGATATGTCTGATAAACACTCTCATCCTCAGCATTATCTTATATATATATATATATATATATATATATATATATATATATATATATATCTCGCTTTGTCTCTCGTTCTCTCTCCCTCTCTCCCTTTCTCTCTTTCTCTCACTCTCTGTCTGTCTCTATCTCACACTTTTCCTCGGTCTCCCGTGCTGTCTGCACTATTATCCTCCCTACCTCTGTTCTATATTTCCCTCCAGCCCTATGATGATTGTGGAATAGAATGTTAAGCGAATTTTATGAATTGTATTAATTTGTATATATATATATATATATATATGTGTGTACACTGATTTTTTAATTCATTCACTGCGTTATATGTCTTAATACGTTTTATTTTTGTATAAATATTTATGTTTTTACAATGTACAAAGTTCTGCAATTCAACCATCTGGCTGCAAATGAATTTTTAATAAAACCATTACCTTTACCATTACCATTACCAAATGGTAAAGCCTGTTCTTTATTTAGTCTTTGTCATTGTCCTTGAAGGGTAAATGAAATCATGACGCCCTTGTGGTGGTTTCGTTGGATAACCAAACTGATGATTGCGATCTAATAAAAATGCATACTTGCACGCATACATGCATACTTCTGTTTACAATGTACCTTGCAACGTGCATGTACTTGCAAGGCTTTTGATGATTGGAATATATTGCTCCTGCTATTCTGCCATGTTTACGATGTTCTAAAAATACGGAAAAAATGTCGTCTACGTCAACTCAACGAAGCTGGGCTGACTCGATCCTAGGCACACAACCTCTGACAAAATTACGGATAATGGGCGTGAAAGGAGATATGTATTAGTCAAGGTAATTGTCAAAGTGACTCTGACATTTATGGGTATCATCATCAGTAACACGGTATACCTTAATTATTGGACTGCAAATATTGATTGTAAAGGCAGCATAAATGACATTAGTTATCCATGAGCCGCCCCTCAGCATGAGGTTTAGCAGTCCAAGCGAGGACATCCTGATTCCTATCTGCGCGCACCGCGTGCCCCAAATTACGTCATAGAAGGTTAATTCAAATTCAATTTGGCCGAGAAAAGAAGAAACAGGTTGGAGCATAGATGGACACTGCAATGTCATAAAGGAAACAACAATGTCGAGATCTTGACATTTGATTTATAATCATTTTGGTTTAATACAGATAAGGTCAGGCTCGTTTGCCTCGTTAGGTAACACGGTAAACAGTATGAGGATCCTTCGCCAAGAACGGCGCCATGCACACGACAAGTTGCTGATCATATATTTTGAGAGGCGGGAAAGAACACGATGAATTGTTTATTTTCATCGCTCTTAAAGCTCGGATAAGTGCATCTATCTTTATGGTAGGAATACCAAGCAGAGACATTTAATGCCTTGTGAAACCTCATTACATTACGATAAGTCTTCTAACGCTTCAATTAAGAACTGGTGTTACCGAAGAAAGGGAAACGGCGATTGTGTTGCATGCGTTCTTCTAAATCTGAAAATAGGTGATCATTTTAAAATATACTTGTGAGACTATTATCTCGTTATGCTTTCAGTGTCAAAACTGTCAAAACTGGAGCAAAAACATGAATGATTTGAAATCTTCTGTAATACATAAAAAAGGACTTCTGAAAAGATAAAGTCAAGCGTTTATCTCTAACTAGATAATAAGTTTTAAAAGAGTGTTTTTTTAATTTTTTAACAGGGACCAACGTCCAGCCATGAATATACCCAATGTCAACGATGGAAGGGGTCTGGACATCTGGCCCACCCCTGCCAATTCCACTTACGGCAGAGTGGGGTAAGTTGTGTTACTTTACATCACCCTTTCTGTAGGTAGACTCCCCGCTCCATCAGGCAGGTGGTGAACATGAAAAGCCTTGCTTAGAGCCAGAAATTTTATATTCCGGAGAAGAAGAAAAATCCACCGGCCTAGGGCTGGAAATTTGGAGCTAAAATTTGTTGTATACTCGGGAAAAACAAGTCCACCGGCCCTCTTTCAAGCTTTTGGAATATAATACACATTGGGATCCCCCCCCCCCCATCACCCTCCCTTACTGAAAGAAGCAGAAGGGGATCGATTTGATTCCCGAAATCATATTCCAGGGGGGGGGGGTGTTTTTTCTTTTGCTCAAACCCCTCCCCATCCCCTCCCCCCGCACTCCCCAACTTACCACCTCCTGAGAGAATGATGGGATTTCCGAAATCAAATGTCCGTGAATTTCTAGACCTTTACGGTAAAAAAACGCGTATGTTTTGTTTATGTGGGTAATTTTTTAAAGTTTTTTTAAAAGTTCTTAAACACCACCACCACAATTTTGATATCATATGTATTTGGACTATAGAACGGTATATTTGTATCAATTTAAAATGGAAGTAGAGCAACGCTGTCTGTTAAATCCGATCTCGGATACTGACACGTATAAGGTGCAATGTTGTAATAATTCTCCACTTCATGGAAACTATACTGCGGGGCACAGTGGAATACATTTTCTTGATATTTTGCTTTGATATATTCTTCTGATGAAGAGGGAGAATGCCCCTGGAATTTATTTAACCCGGATGAGTTTCCCCTAAGGAAAGAAAACAATATTTCTTCATTGTAAGGGTTTCATTCGAAAGACTTGTCACCTTACTGAAAAACTTGCCTTTGAGTAACCTCTATATAAAAATATGTTTTTTCGCCTTTTTGTTTAGAAGGTTGAAGGTTTAAATGATGTTTTCAACTGATACTTAATAATTATTTATTCTGTTTTCATTTCTAATATTATGTATATTATTATCTTTGTATATTGTATAAACTAGCCCCATGGAAGACCAGCAGCAACAATATAGTTGAAGCTGAAAATGGGCTACCAGCCGTATTTTTTTTTCTCTGTATGATTACTTTGTATGTAATTTATTATACAGAAAAAAAAAACAACAACAAGCATATTTAAATAGATATGTTTTCCCGGTTTGATATTAATTTCATTTGAAATGATGATTTATTCATATTTTGTTTTACTCTATTGATTGAAATCGCAGATGTGCAGATATTCATTTTGTGTAGGAAACAATGTTGTGTCCGCTTTCTGGGTAAAATCGTTTTTTATTTCCTTCAAATTCTTAGAAGGAAGCTTGCATTACTTTTCGCCCAAAGCAATAGCAATTAGATGATCAAAAAAAGTAAACTCCTCGTACAAAGGGAGAGTCAAGTAGTACTTTTTGAAGAAATAAAGAATGTTTCCTCGGGGTAAGGATGTGACAATCCCAAGCTATTAAGAGATAAATACGGAGAAAAAAAATAGTGAGCCATTTTCCATTCAAGCGATTAAAACACGCTCTCTCTCCAGAGGGCTTTCTGAGAATATGTGACAAATCAATATTGAACTAACGCGACACTTAACAGGTTGGGTTGAATTTCTTCGAATAATGTGTCCATCGTGCACGTTCGCGCTAAAATATACAGCGGTTCATACTCATCGATCGTTGAACTTATTCCATTTACCCAGCGTAATCATGATATTGTATTTCGTTGCGTCAGCTCGTAAAAGTTTAGAGTATATTCTACTGACTGTATTAATACAATTTAACACCCACATTATCAAAGCCGGATGACCTTCAGTACCATTCTTTTCTTAAATGTCTTGTTATATGTCGAAATGATATTTTTTCTTTAAAACTGTCATCCGTTAAGGTAGATTATAATAGAACCTATATTTTCATTATTGTTTTAATTGACAATCTCGGCTCTAATCTAATTATTCCCATCTTCATCCATTTCCACACCCGTTCTCTACATCCATTCTCCTCCACCTGTTTCGGTCTCTTCTTCTCTTTACTGAGATGGCCAAACAAATTGTCGTTTAATGAGTAATTGATTCACACATTATTCATGATTTAGTTATCAAGTCTGTTGAATGAGCATAAATGATCACCATCTGTTTTCAGCATGTTCAGTATGATTTATTTCCATAACATACCAAAGAATATGAGTGATGTTTAATGTCTACCTACACACACTCTCGCCGAAAAGGTCTAAACCGTATAATGCTGAAACAATAAATGTCATATCTTGACATTAATTTCCCTACCTCGTACTTTCTGAATGTAGTCCCTCGTTATCTGCTTTTACCTTTTTTTTTTATACCTGGAATGGGAACATAATTGATTTTCTTCACACCGAGAGCCCCTCTGCAGGTGTCTTTTGCTCTAGCCTCAAGCTAACTTAGACGGCTAATAAACAAGCGAAAAAGAAGAAAAAAAGTGGCATTTATGGGGCGATGATCATCATCGCCGAGAAGCATCGTCTGGATTAGAGCGCGCGTTTGAAAGGATTCCAGTCTGAAAGCTGGCATCCATCATTAGATGTAGTTGTACAATAATGCTGCTTTGAATCTAGGTCTCAGATAACAATTGTTCCAAATATTTAGATCAAAAACCGGGGACCGAAGTTCATGGCCCTGTTTCATAAAACTTGCTATCAATTAAATTTCAGTAGCTTATGCCACTGAAATTAAGGCATTCGATTGGCTGAGAGCAGTTTGTCATATAATTTTAGCACTACATTATTGATAACACGTTTTATGAAACAAGGTGCGGGGTGCTAGCGAATGTACAGCTAGCTTAACGTAAAGATGGGGCGGTTTTGTCCGCAAATGGAACAAAGTTTTAACGCGTTATCCATTCTCGAGTGTGAAACAAGTATATAATTATCATCTTAAATTAACTTATCATTAGAAGATATTTAATTCGTTCTGTAGATAGCCATCGAGAATGAAGTCGGTCAAATTGAGATTTATGCTTCTTGAAAATGGGGTTATGTCTATTATTGGGTTGGTCTATATTGATTCTAACGAGTCTTATGGCTAAAAATATTAATTATTAATTATTGTATCGTATACAAACATTGTGTGATTTAACGATAAAGGGGTTATCGTGCATAAATAAAATGACATATTCCCATTTAAACAATGCACAATGCCCTTAAAAGCGTTAAAGAGCTAAAAATGACTATACAGACAAACTTCAAGACAATAAATATGGCATTCAAGTTAATGTAAAACGAGGGATGAGCTGCATCACAGTTGGTTTTGTACTTTTCATCAATCAAGCTAGATTTTGATGCCAACATTTTCATGTAATTAATATCCTGTGTTTTTTTCCCATATGCGAGGCTTAATAGATGAAATGAGTCAACTACTATTAAATATGCCAGATGATAATTTCAGTTTTTTTTTATACCAGATTGAAACACAAGCTAAAAAACCTGAATCGGAAAAGCACTTGTACTTTTTTTTCTTCTAATCTTCCAACTGAATACCAATGAAAAATTGAAAGCAATTGAATATATCAATATATATTGTAGACTCTTGCGGTATTTCGGAAAACAATCGTTGATTTTGGGTGCTTCGCGGTATTTTTCACGCTTCTGTTTAGTAGGGCTACCAGTTAATGGGATATTTAATCATTTTACTTCGACTGACAAGAAGGATCCATTCACTGTGGCAGTTGTTCAGGGCTCACTTACGAAAGGTTGATTCCATTATCCTGGCAATATTCTCCCTCTTCCCCTATTATCCGCCATTGTCGTTTCCTCGATATACCGAGAAATTGAAGACAGAGAGAGAATTCCATACGAAGCATCGTCTGAGGGATTGATGGTGGAGATAAAGAGCAAAACGTAAAGGAGAATAAAAAGATGGTCTCTCAAACGTGCCCTGGACCCACATTTCTCGCTGATTTCTCGTGACTTGTAGATACTGTTAATGACATTCGCCTTTAGACATCAATTAACTATCTGCAATGTCCGGCTTAGTCTATAAAGATACGATCTCGAGAACAGAAGTGGAATGGACCCATTCAAAAAGTGCGAAAGATAAAGTTCATTCTTGAGGGAGTTGGGGGGGGGGGGGTGGTACAGAAAACGTTGTATCGACTTCAACGTCGTCACTGATTTGATGGAGAGAAAAAGAAAACTAGGCCATAGAAAACTTTTGGAGAACGCCAACAAAAAGTTCACTTTGAATTCTAGAGAATATTTCTTTTAAAGAAAATACCACATTTCATCCAACTCCGAGTCTGAAAGTGAGAAGTTTAGATTAAGATTGGTTGATCATTTTCTCAATCTACTGATGGCCAAACCAATTATTATTTGCGCTGTAAGCTATTAGAAATATTGCCTATGTAAGGCGTAAATTACAAAAACCTGTGATAGCGTTTTTGATAGCTGAAATTAGTTTGAATCCGGAAATACTCTTTTGTGTATACCAGAATGAAAGGAACCTTGATTAAAAAAAACAATGCCACGTTGTATTCTCAAGGTACATGTATACATTATACCGTTTAATTCTTTACGCTTAAAATACGAATGACATCGTATTATTTAATACAATTTAATGATTTAGGTTTATTTTTGAAACTGTTCTATGATATGTCATACACAATGTTGTAAAATATTTCTTAAGAAGCAAACGATAAGCTGATTTCGATGGAAGTCAGAAGACGATTGAAAGGTTCGGGAGCATCGCAAATGTCCTTTAGCAGACTGATACATGGTTTACAATAGTTAGGGAGCCCCAGAGTAAACACGTTGTGATGGATTATGATGAAGCCAGAATCCAAGGAAGATGTGAGACAGTGTTGCCCCATTTGTAAGATTTTCTGGGTTAACATTAATTTGACATCTCGTATGGAAAGAAACAACAATAGAGACGAATATGATTTTATCCCCTTTGTCGCAGATTCGGTGTGTTATTTGTAGTTGCTTTGTCTGTGGTGTGTTATATTAAATTTGGAATTGGGAAATACAAAACCAATTTTTCAAGCAAAACGTTGAAGT